TGTGCGCCTTCAAGTCCGTTTTTGATTCCTGGCGACCTCCTAGACTAGTTCCTGCAGTTTTCTTGGCAAGGTTTTTCAGAAGTGGTTTGCCATTGCTTCCTTCCTAGGATTGAGAGACAGTGACTGGCACAAGGTCACCCAGCTGGCTTTGTGCCTAAGGCAGGACTAGAACTCATGGTCTCCCAGTTTCTAGCCTAATGCCTTAACTGCTACACCAAAAAACTGGCTCTCTTATTCTTTATAGTTGATCCTAAAAGATAGGAGATATCTGCCACTTCAATATCTTCATTGTCAATTTTAAGGATGGTTGCTATACCTGTTGTCATTAGTTTGGTCTTCTTTATATTTAATCTTACTCCCATTTTTTTCACTCTGCTCCTTGTCTTTCATTGTTGGAGCTTGCAGATTCTTTGCATTTTCAGCTATCAGAGTATGTAGTGTTGTCAGCACAATGCAAGTAACTGATATTTCTTCCTTCAATTTTAAAATCACACCCTTCTAATCTAGCTTCCCTCAATGTATATTCCACATATGGGCATTTCACCATGATTTGTCTTCATTGTGTTTTCCTGACCAGTGTATAGTTTTGCATGAGGATAATGTGATGCTCTGGAATTCCCATTTTTCTAAGCACATTCCACAGCTTGGCATGATCAACACAATCAACGGCCTTTGTATCATAAAAAAGTACTCTTTTTTTGTATGTTTTATATTCTTTTGTTTCTCAATTATCCAGCATGCATCAGTAATAATGTCTCATGTTTCTCAGCCTTTTCCAAAGCCAACTTGAACATCTGGCATCCATGTAAGACTCTAATCTGCGTTGGATGATACTAAGAATTATTTTGCTAGCATGTGAAATTTAGGATATTGCATGACAGTTTGCACACTCTGTCAAGTCTCCTTTCTTTGGTATTGGTATGTAGATTGACCTGTATTGTTCTCCGGACTTGCTGGCATAGCTTAGTTAGAACCTTTACTGATTCTTCTTCTATTGCTTGCCATATTTTTGTAGATATTCCACCAATTTCTGTAGCCTTCTGATTTGGTAATGACCAGAATGATGAACTAATTTCATCCTTTAGTACTAGAGGTTCTTGAAAGTAGGGAATATCTTCTAAGGTATCTTGGATATTGACATCTCCCCTGTACAGAATTTCAATATACTTCTTCCACCTTTGAATCAGTTACTATCTGTCTGTGAGTGTCCTTCAGCACACCAATTTAAGGTTGGAACCTCCTTTTGAGCTCAGAGATCTTTTAGAAGACTTTCCTTGTCTTCCATGTCTGTTTCCATCAATGTCTTTACAGATGTTGTTGTAGTACTGCTTGTTGTCTGTTCTAGAGCTCTCTGAAATCCTTTATAAAGTTCCTTCCTGTGACTTTTGTCTCTCTCGGCTTTGACTTCTCTTTTCTTCTTGGCAATCTCCACAGTTTGTTCTGACAATCAATATGCTTCATTCTTGATCTTTGGCAGTCTCTTTTCATATTCATCCTTAATTACTTCTTTTGGTTCATTCCACAGTTTCTCTGGTTATTAATCATTGAGGTTTGGGACTTCCAATATTCCTCCTTAATATTTCCAGCTTTGGCATTCCAGTCTTTAACCACAAGCAGCACATTCATGTGGTTTTCTTGATAAAATGCAGGAGTGCTTTATCATTGCCTTCTCCCACTCTGTATGAAATGATGCCTTTGCCATTGTCACTAAAGTGATCATCCACCTTCAACACCTTCCTGTATCACTACTGCCCAATATAGGTATATGTTAGCTTTAGCTGGGATTACCTTCATGCCTTGGGTGATCCTGCTGAGATTATATACCCTGGGCATATACACCTGGCATTCTTTGCTCATCTCTCCTAGGAACACCTCACCCCCCACCACAATGAGGCAGCACAGTGGGACATATATAGGGAATAGGATCAGCAATTACCAAAACAGTGAACAGATGGAAAATTGTCTCTTCTTTATAAAAGTGGGGATGTCCGGTACCTTACATAGAAAAAGCTGAGGAAAACTGAGATTTGCTACTTGAATTGCCTATATGTGTGTCTCACTTGAAAACAGAATACTCACCAGAATTCTTTGCTGTAACATTTACCTTTTTTTTTAATGAAGACTATTTATCAGAGCTCTTGGATTCTTGCTCTTTGGATTGTTTTCAGTCCTGATTACCTGGAGGAGGATCTGAAATCCTGACATAATTTTTACCAAAGACACAAACTGGCACATTTCACTGAACATTCTGCTACTGATATCAGGTGATTCTTGGAAGATGAGATCAGCCCAGCTTCAACTGCCATGTTAGGCTGATGTAGCCCACTTCCCTCCAGTCCCTGAGCAATGTCCTTCAGAATCATTATGGCTTGGCCAACAGGTGAATCTGGCTCCTTTTCGTTTAGTACTGTATTGGTATACTGTAGTACTAAATCTATGTTCTTTTTCAATAAACATAATTTAATGGTTTTTGGAAAGTGGAAAATCCACTAGAAAATCTACTGGTCTGGCCATCTGTCAGAAATTGCCTTCTCCACAGCCCATGTTAAAGAGAAAAATTGGTGGATTTATTTTATGTTATTTTTAGAGCTGGTGATATTTAGTAAAAGCAGAGTGCAACAAAGCTGAGAGAATCCATCAATCCTTGTATTTAAATGTACCATGTACATTGTAGATATGGACAGCACCATTTGCAGCATTATGCTTGTCGCAGAATTGGGATCCCCACTGGGGGCAACAAATTTAATGCAGTATAATTTTTGCCTGGCTCAGGAATGGTGGACAGCATTTTAACTCAGCCATGAAGAAGAGTCTATAATTTTCACTTTTGCTCTGCAGTATCTCTGAGAGAGAAGAAATTGGGACCACAACATTTATTTATGTAAAGCAGTTGTATTCTATCTATTCCTTCAATTCAGGCAGCTTACAATTGTAAAAATAGAAGACAGGTAAAAACCATCACTGCTTCTGATATTTCTACTATCTAAAACAAATAGACATTTTTCATTAAATGGTCCCAAAATAAGTTCTTTCTGAATCGAATTTGACAAACTCAATGTGGTACATAAATTAGGCATCATTCTTTAAAAAGCACACATTTATAAATCATCACTGTCAGTATATGGTGGCTCATTAAAGTCTATAATTTAATTCAGACTGATCTGGGAATACACTTAACTGAAAACAATTAGATTTATTTCTGAGTAGTCATATACAAGTTTGTAATATGGTTATTTTTATGGCATAAACTTCCATGGATTAAAGCTCATCTCATGAATTCCGTAAAATGTTACTCTAAGCATAGAGCAGTGATGCAAGTAAATAATTTAAAACCTTTGGACCATAAGGGTCTGAAGGTAATCATGATGATGAAGAAATAGCACAAGCATGGTAACATGTCATTTAAGGAGGGATAAAAATCTAATAATAATAATAACAACAACAACAACAACAAAAACCCTGATCTTTTAGTCCTGACTCATTCGATGCAAGTATGTTAAGTCACAGGCTTTGAATCATGTCACAACACATTATATCATCTGCCTCCCTGCCCTCCTCAGATGCTTATTTTATATTGCTTGGGAATAAGTATTATTTTGTTGTAAAAAACAATATATAAAGTAAAAATATAAAAATGAGACATATAGCTGTATACAAGTCCAGCTGGCTGCCTAGCTGCCCCCAAATAAATAAATCTGTAATTATAGCATGTTGTAGTAAGTAGTGTGAGAAGGCAGGGAGAAGTGAGGGCCTCAAACGAACCATGTTTGCTAGGGGAGAGCGCTGTGCATCATGGGGCAGCCTGGGGGGGGTGGCAGGAGGGAGAAAATACTGTAGGCAGGAGGCACGGCACCAGAGTGAAGAGAAATGGCAGGGGGCGGCTGTTGGGTCAAGTGGGGATTAGGAAGTGTGTATTGCGCTGATTGAATTAGGAAAGTGGAATGTCTGCGGTTTTGCGGTTAATTAGCGGCGCTCCGGG